CCCCCCCCCCCCCCCCCCCACACCAGGACGACGGCGACCACTGGTACCACTCCTCCAAAACTTTGCCGGCCTTCATCCGCGACTGATAACACTGAAAACGTTCCAAACCATCAATCCAATCTACCTGGTCTCCAGCTTCAGGAATAGAAGTTTCACACAAGCGTTGGTTTTCAAGTCTTAAGAAGCTTAGGAGTTTAGGGTGTTGACGCTTTCAGGGCTTACAGTTTGGGGTTCCCCAAGGCCCCACCCCCTCTTGGCCCTGAAGCCCCTAAACCCTAAACCCTTCCAGTCTCAAGTGAGCCGGTGCACAGACGATTCGCCTGGTGCTTAGTAGGGAATGGGGGAACGGATCCCTATGATAGTCCCTTTAAGGTCCCTTATGGATCCCTACGGGTATGATAGTCCCTGTAAGGTCCCTTATAGTAGTCATGATAGTCCTTTAAGGTCCCTTAGAGTAGTCCCAATATCCCATTCCCCCATTCCCTACTAAGCACCAGACAGAAGATTCGTCACGACTCTTTGAGCTGGATCTTCGTAGGTCAGGAAGCAGTAGCCGAACACGGCACCAGCCTTAAAGCCGACACCCTAAGGGCTAAGGGTTTAGGGGTTTGGGATTTAGGATTTAGGGTTTAGGTTCCATGTACCCAAATCGTCTACACTTTGGGCCTGGCAGTACTACCTATATACAGGTACTTTGGGGGCCAAAGTTTTTACTATTTTGGTACATCGACCTTACACGAGACATGGCAAGCTTAGAATCTCAGAAACGTGGTGCACTTTTCGTCGGAAGCTGGCCATGATGTGCATCTAGGAGGTACAGGGTCTCGGTTGATTGATAGGAAGGGCTTCGGGTTGCCTAGCTAATTACCAATACTATTTATTGGGGTCCCTTATTATATAGTTATGGTAGAATATACCCTAAAACCCTATTCTAACTTGTTTTGGTTCTAGGAAGTCTAGGGGGGCTCGCATCTGCGACCGCCGGCTTTTTGCCGTTCACGGTGCAAAGTAATGAACAACTGTTTTTGACATAAAGCTGCGTAGAGCCACCTGAAGGCACGCAACTGTTCTAACTTCGCCTGAAAATCTCTGCGCCTTCAGCCGCAGCCCAAACACAAAACAGACAAAAAACTGTCAGCATGCGCCAGGCAATTCGGACTACGGTAGCTCTGTTTCATGTCTTGAGTCTCAAAACTGAACTCGGAATCCCCCGGCAGCTAATCTGATCATGTGAATATGTAAACGCAGGGAATATGTTCCGCATTCGCGCGGTGCTGAAGCTAACCCAGGCTTCAAAAGTGCAGCTCCAACTTGGACCAAGCATCATAGGCGAAGAGGATGAACACCACTACCCACGCAGTGTAAGGGGTAGCCACCTGCGTAAGTCCACGGTGAGGCTCAAGATCTGAGCGCTGATTCTGAAGTTTGGGGAGGACAGAGTCGGGGAGACTGCTCCCTCTGTGACGGTTCAGTGTACGGCACACGCACATACGCGGAGACAGACACACGGACAAAGATGTGAATGTATACTGCGTGCAATCATCAGTGTATACGTATTTGGAATCCATATGGACACTCAGACAGATGTACAGATGATGTACAGACCGAAACAGGACATGAACATACAAGTACTTAGAGGAACCTGAAAATACGGGTTTCTACCTACATATCCAGACATTATGTAAACATGCACACGTACAATCACGTACATGCATGCCTGCTTGTTCCTCAGCGTATGAGCATGGCATCACGGAAACCCTAAACCCTAAGCCCTAAACCCTAGAAGACCGTCAGCACTGGGTTCGACCCCTGAAGAACCGGCCTCAGAGCCAATCACGTAGGCAATCACCGTGCCCACGGTCACTGTGGCAATGGCTGCGAAAAGAAGGGTGAACCCAGCCTGATACGGTAGCACGAATAGTAATAATAGTCACAGGTAGTAATAATATAGTATTAGTACTAATATTAGAATTAGACTAGTGTTAGTGAGTCAGATCAGCACTCCGGGGTGTTCTAAGTTTGTTATCTTCGTCGGGAGGTAGGCTCGGGATGCGGTTTCTGAAAAGTTTCTAGGTGCAGAAACCTTCTTATCGTACTGACAAGCCGACCTCACAAGTACTGTAGGGGCCTTAAGGAATATAATAGGGTTTTGGGGCCCTTTACAGTATAGTTATAATAGGGAGCCCCGCAAAATAGTGTTGGCACCTATGGTACTTACTGCATCCCAAGACCCCTTTGAGTAGTTGAAACTCTACCGCGGGGAGAGCTGATTCCGATATCTGTTGCCTACAGAAGGATCCGCTCAGACTGTCCACGAACCCAAACCACCCTAAACCCGGAACCACAATCCCTAATACCTTAACCCAGTCCCTCAACACAACCAGTGCCTCGAACAGCGAGTCATAAACCCCAAGCTGCGGAAACCCTCTGCGAATGCCCAGATCCCATTCCCCAAAGCCTGAGCCCTGAACCTCTCGGCATAGAGCTGAATACACCCCTAAGCACTGTGAACCCTAAACAGACACCCATGACCCCTGTATGAAAACCGCAAACCCCCAAACAGAAAAGCCCTAAACCCTACACCTTAAGCCCTAAACACTACACGTTTCAACCCAAAAGCCTTGAACCCAAATCTTAAAAATCCTGACATCGAAACCCTAACTCTTTAAAACCCTGACCCCTAAAGTCCTAACCCCTAAACCCCTACATCCGAAACCACGGAACCCTAAATGGGCCCTTAACATAGCACCGCACCCTTTTAAGACCCTAAAATTTGGAGAATTACTCCAGGCGCCTAAATAACTACCATTAGTATGCCTGAGGGCTCCTTAAAAAAAATATGCCGCAAAGAAGTCCAAAACCCTGTTGTACTTATTAAGCCAAATCTGTAGGATCCCTGCCTTCAGCCGCGCTTCGCCGCCTTGGCTGACCCCAGGTGGGGCAGGCCGGCAGAATTCTTTTGAGATTTTGGATTTAAGGCTTCTTCAAACGGGTGGCTATAAGGCCTGTAAGGGTTTAGGGTTTTAGGGTTTAGGCTTAAGTTGGGGGTTTTGGGTCTATAGTGATCTGAGGCCGTTTTGGTTCTGCTGGGTTTTCTGGGTTTGGGTATGACTCTGCTTGAAGGCCTATAGGTTGAGGTTTAGGGCATATCATAGCAGTTTCGCTTGTTCAGGATTACTAGGGGGTTTACTGGTCTTGGGCTTTTGGCTTTAGGATTTGGGGCTTGCGTTTGCGGCTTCGCGGGCAGGTTCATGGATTTGAAGCACCATGAGTGCAAAATTGCAGGTTGGTGCTCTTTCCATGTGGGTATTTCTCTACATTAGGGTCCCTTTTAGGGTCCTTTTTACAAGGGTGCCGTACTATATTGGGGACCTAAAAAGGGACCCGAATTTAGAGAACTACCCATGTGTTGCTTTCGGTGAAAACAGTAGCTGTCGCTGCCGTGACTGGTATAACTACGACGATTGTGAGCAGTTTGGCGATCATGATGACTGAAAACCAGATGGCTCAGGAGGGATTCTTACGGTCAAGATAATGAAGTTGTCAGTCGGAAATCCTTGTCGAAATACAGGAGTTGAACATGTTTACCTTGTTCGCCTTCTAGAGACGGGGTGCTTCTGGGCCACATGTAAGAGAAACAAGAAAGATGCATGTGAAGATTAAGCTGAGTTTGGGCTTGTGGGCTTTTGGGATTTTGATAGGGTCATGCGTCATGCGGCTTGTGGATCTAAGGTGTCCCACTGCGCGGAAGGTCACATCACCTATCACACTAGGTGTTGCTAAAGCGGTGTCTGAAAGAGTCGATGACTATAGGCATCAGTCACAGGTATGGTTCATTGCTTGGGGAAGTGGATGGTCCGTTACGGATTCACTGCTGACAGTGAGTACGAGGGACTGGCAAATAGGCGTTGCAGAATTTCGAATGTACGGTTGCAGGATGTTGTGGCTGCGAACCTGTCATACAGACCTTCGTGTTAGCAACTTATAAAGCCCCCGGCCCATAAACCCAAGCCTCTTAATGTAAGGGCCTTAATAATTAGAATATGGTTTTGGGGTATACGATATTGTAATGATAATTAAGGTGCCCCAAAATAGTGTTGGTAATTATTTATGCCCCTATGCTAGCCTCTTAATCCCTAAACCCTCCACAACCCAGGCAGCAGCAAATCTTCGAGGTGCCCGGGTTGTTCTGTTCGCCAGCTGCTTTGACGAAGTCCTGCCAGTGGCCAAAGGCATGTCCTCGCAAGGAATGTGCAGGGATTAAAGGGGTCTTATGTTGCACAGGTGTTTCTACGAAGGTTATTTTGGTTCATGAGGGATCCGTGATGGAATAGGAGTTCCTTAAAACTCAGAAACACCGGAAATCTAAACCTTGTGCCAAAACTCCATAAACGGCTGCTAACCATAGGTGTGAACCCAGCAGTCCTCGGAAACGTTTTTCGAAGACATCCTGGCTCACGACGACCTGTGTCGGCAAGGCGCACACATCGAGAATTTCAGGACTTAACTTATAGATCATTAGATCCCTAGGCGGATCGAGGTTCTACCCGACGACATCCTCGTGCGACTGAAATGCACGACCGCTAGCCTGCCTGCGCTGTATCTTGCATTCTGCTCAGCAACAATCTCCGCGAGATTGCAACAACAAGGGCGACAATAATACTGGCAGCTACCCGCAAACATGAGAGTGAACGTGGTTGTTCGGAATACTAAAACCCAACACGGCAAACAACTGACAACCGCTCTTGCCGGTATCTTGCATGTGTGCATGCGGCACTACATGCCTTCCATATTGCCGTCGTAAGGCAATACCGTTCTAATGTAGAGGCCTTAATAATTACAATAGCGTTTCGGGGTATATTACTTAGACTATAATTTTTCTAATGAGAAACCCCCCCAACCCTATTATAAATTATTACGGCCCCTACATTATGCCACTTGAGCCGAGTCTCAGAGACCTCGCTTTGTCCAGCGCAGGGGACGAATCCGAAGGCCAGGCCCAGCAGCGGCCATGCTGGGAAACGCATGCTGAACCCTACGGTACCAAGGCCTGCTGTACGTTCGATACAATGACACAGCTAGCCCTGTGATGTAGGGGCCTGAATAATTAGAATAGGGTTTCGGGGAATGTTATACTGTAGTTATAATAAGGAACCCCCAAACTAGTACAGGCAATTCTTAGGCCCCTATATTAGCTGTTTTGGTCCTGCGGCCATGCTCAAAGGCGCAAACCCGGCAGCCAGCCGGCTTGATTGCATGTGTTTAGAAAATCGATGATTGCAATTGGCTTAGGGTTTAGGGTTTAGGGGTTTAGGGTTTGACCACAAGACAAACAATACAAACAAGTTGGCCATGTAGTACTCAGGTGCTGCTAGGACTTCAATGTTACGCCTCGGGGTCTCGCTCATGTTTGCGCGATTGCTCGTTGCCATGTGTATATTCTAATACGTGTGTATGGAATGTGCATGCTTATAACCACACATCGAAGAAGCATTTATACACACATGTGTAAATAAAGAAATATACATACATACATACATACATATATACATATATACATATATATATATATATATATATTATTATGTGTGTGCATACTCAAGTCCACGCTTGCATGAACGTGCTGTGGGTGGCTATACCTCTCTGTGAAACATGCCCTTCCCGACCCGCTCTCTTCTTCACGTCCTCTCTCCATTTCAGGATCAGCAAACTCACCACACACGGTGAGCTCGAACCAGAACGCATAAAGCAACATGTGATCATGCACAATTCAACATGTGACACGAGGCTGCGTCGGATTTGTCTATGCACAAGAATGCACTCCCGGACTGTTGTCCAACAACGTTTAAACTCCAAATACGAGGCCGGTGTACGCAATGCTAGAATAACAGCAATGAGACTAGCAGGAAATTCAAGCAGATCGGGTGCTTCTGCCACTCACCAACCTATCCCCCTTCCACAACCTAGGAAATACCTCTGAAAATCATCAAGTGTGGTTCTCTGCTAGCTCGTGCAGGAATGCTTTCGAGCAAGTACCATATTCTGGTGACATATGATCAACCCCGTCAGTTCCAGGTGCAAAATCAAGAAATAGAGCTATCGACACTGACTCGACGCATGCATCCTTTGCCTGCCCTGGACCCAAACCATGCACTCCCACCTCAAACATTCAAACCGAAGTCTGTGATGACGGCCCTTGCTTGCACAGTCTCCAGAGGCTTACTGACATGATCGACGACATGAAACATGACCTTATGCTGTGTCGTGCTACATACATTGCCGTCTTAACTTCAGGCTGCCCTAGGATATACTGATGTCCATACAAGGCATGCGTGCATACATGCAGACCGGCATGCAGGCATACATGTTACATATGCCCCTAAAAACATATAAATATATATATATATACACATGAAAATATAGATACACACATACATTCACACACACACACACACAGAGATGTATCTGCACTGGGAAATCTGGGAGCTTCAGTGGGAAGATCGTAAACCCAAAGTTAAGGAGCCGTAAAGAAGGTACCCCCTCCCCCATGTAAACCTTACCAAGAGGGTCCACTAATACGAGGTTTATTTCATTCGGCAACATAACCAAGATATGGATGGTCTTTTTGGAAGCTTACTCCGTAGTGCTAGTATCCCCAAACCCATAAACCCAAACCCTAAGCCATAATGGTAGTATGTATGAACCATAAACCTGAACCCTAAGCATAAATTCCACAATGGCAGTATATGTGCGTGTATATACATATATATATATATACTCTGTGGGCTATTGCATTTGAGAGCTCGCAACGGCCAGGGTCGCGGCTTGTCGGTGGTGGAGCCGGGGTCGAAGGCTCACCCTGGCCGCTGTCGAAGCCAGTGTTGAGAAACCTTATCGGTGTGGAATATAATGGCAATAACGGCAACAGTAACAATAACAACAATGATAACAATAGTACTATCCAGAATATGACTAGTATCGCTGCATTAAGGAAGCCTAAAGACTAGCAAATGGCGATTTACTGGTGGTGCAGACCCGTATGACTACTTCCCTGAGTGCTGCACAGGCATACGGCGTTGCAAAAGGACTGCTTTACGGTCCGGATACGTTCCCCTGCAAACGGGTTCGCTGAGTTGACGTTTAGAGTCTGGCGCCTCGCACTATCTATGCCTATGCGTTTACCCTATTCACCTACCTGCCTACCTACCTGTCTATCTATGCATCTACCTGGCTGGCTACCTATCTCTCTACATATATACATAGTTCATATGCGACATATACATATATATATATATATGTACATATGTGTATGCGTGATATATCTGCAAATATATAATATCTATGTCACTGTATGTATGTACATATGTAATTGCTATGCAGGTATGTCTGTGTGTGCGTATCATGTGTGTGTGTGTAAACATGTATGTTTATCTGTTCCAGGACATTGTGGTCAAGTCCTCGGTGATCACACATGGCCGGGTGCAAATAAACCGAATATGTAGAAGCACGCGTACATTCAGTGATTGTGGACAATGTCAAAACCACTCAACCTTCTAAATCTCACCACGGCTGAATCAGAAAAATGCTCGCATACCTTCGTTACCTAGTTTCCAAACCTCTACTGAAAACTAAACCTGGAAGCCGTCCACATTAGCAGACTCAAAAAATCTCAGTGATCAAAGCTCCACTTGGCTAGAACACATATGATATAACCCCTGTAGAAACCCCTTCAGCAGCCGCAATGAAAAAATGCAAAACCCTGTTGCCCCAACCATGCAGCAACCCGGTAAAACCTCTAACGTCGCGCCTGTGTTGTCTCGGAAGCCTCTGCCGCAGGCGGCTTTTGCGTCGCGGGCACCTTTACATGCTCAAGCTTTAGGGGATACCATAACCCTAAAAACCTATCTGTTTAGGGACTTAGACAAAGAAACTGTAATCAGGAGCCCAAAAAAAGCTAGGTTATTTGGGGTCCAGGTAA